TTCTTTCATCCGTCGCAAAGGAAGTAAAGTTTGGAGAAGCACTTGAGTCTACTTGTAAAACAGACGATGAACTACATTCTTAAATTAAATCAATTATCTATATGGTAGAAGTTCTGACAAAGAACGGTGATGTAGTTTCATTGCCTGTTCCGGATTAGAACTGCCTGGATATTCATTTTGCCGTAAAAGAGTTATACCAACCATTTGTTTACTTCAAAAGGTTGGTAGAAAATGATAGTTTTATTATGGTTTGCTTAGCTTTATATCTGTTGAAGACGCATTTTACTTAATTCTGTGACAATTTTTTTGTGCGCTAAAAGTACTAAATAATTGGTAATTTTGCTTACTCGAAGTAACAGTAGTCTTTCTTCAATGAAGTTCAGTAATTTTAATTGATTCTTAAAGTTTACTTTTCTGTGAACCAATGTTTTCATGAGAATTTGACCAACGCTACTGAAGGCATAATATACTTTGTATGGAAATGTTGGTATTAATTACTAAGCGAAGTTTCATTTTCTTTCAGCGTCATATAAGTTTTTTTGTTTAATTTTTGTTGCTTACGCTATCTACAGAGTACTTTTTGTATTTCAATTTATTATGACTAGTTTTCATCAAATGAATCGTTCATCTCTTTGAAGCTTGCCTGTTCGACTTTTTTTTCTCCTGACTCCAGAATTTAACTGCATAATTTTTTGGTTTTCGTCTGTTATTTTTCAAATACGTACTTTTCTGCAAAACTATTTGATTTATTTCTGAAGCTGCCATTAACACTGCTGTAGGGAGAAGCTTGGAAAGTTAATCAATGCCACTTGAAGAAAATGAATTTTCCTCCATTATTTCCCGAGATATTGCCTGTCAATTGACCGGGGATGCTTCCAAGTACCAGAACAATCCGACGTTAGAAGTTGCGTGGGCTTGCAATGTTAGTTTTTTTATTTTTTCTCGTAATGTTGGCAGAAATTCGAAGTCTTACCATCATTATTCATTGTGAATGATCGAACTTGCTGCAAACATGTGAACAAGTAAAAACTGTAAAAGAAAACTGCTCTTTCCTATATTCAGATTTTTTTTGAAGATTTTAATGGGAATGAATCTTTTGCATAGGATTTTAATTGTGTCTGTAAAGAAAAAAAAATTTAAATTTCTTAGGTAGTATCATGATTACCTTTTTTTACAGGCAGCAGAACGAGCCAGTATTCATATGAATCTCTTGCTTTCTTGTGACACAAGAAATCTTTCCTTACACAAGCATTCTAGAATGGTTTATGATCACTTTCGGTCACTGTTTCCAGATATGAATGTTAAAACGGTCATCTTTTTAATTAAATGGTTAAATCCTTTTTCTTCCCTTTCGCTAAGCATGTTTCATTTTTGGCTAGCATCAAGGACCTCTATACTCCAAATTTTCATTGACTGTGAAAAAAGATAGCATAATTTATGTTCTGACAGGGGAGACTTCTAGACTAACTTGTAATTCCATCTTTTGTGTGGAGCTGTTTTCTAATGAACTTTCTCATCATTTCATTTCCATTTTTTGCAAAGTTACTTTGTTAATCCCCTCTCTTATAAGGATGTTAATTCTCAAAAATTAAAGCCTCGATAGCAACTAGTAACTTCCTATTATATAAATAAGTAAATCGAGTGTTAATAGGTGGCGGAAAAGGAACTTAAGAATGAGAATAAGAAAAAGTGGTTTGAGTTCTGTGAAAATTTGAAAGATACCATTGAAGAATATAACCTTGGGACGTTATTAAGGATTCGTGCAAACGGAGTATACAGTGAGGAGAATACCATCGTCGTTCCAAAAGTACAGATTATTATTTTTTCGAATTTGGACAATTTTTTGGATGTTCATTGGATGATAGTTTATTTTATGTTTTGCATCTTGTAAAACCTATAGTTCAGCGAGAATTAAATTTTTAGGTCATATATTTAGCGATTGAGGCAGCACGAAACTTCGAAGGGATTAATGAAGAGGCTAAGGAACATTACACAGAGGAACATGAAAAAGTTAGTCGAGAAGGAGGAAATATTTGTTGACGTTTATTTATTGGGAGCTGTTTCAAAGCTTCTTTTGTTGAATCTTCTTATGTTTTTGGATTGTTATTATAGTCTTAAAATATCTTTTTTGACTCTGGGTGCTACTAAAATATTAACTTCAACTTCGATGTGGTTTGTTTCGTACTTCATTTCAAAATCGTCATTTCCAGAACCTTCAAAAAGCGATTTCTTTGTGTAGTTATGACATTGGTTTTTTTGATATTTCATCTTCAGCATCTTGCAGTAATTTTTGATGTGATATATACTGTGCATTCGTGAACTGTCTGCTAAGTTGTCTGTTATTTTTTTATTATTTTTTTGTATTATATATTGTTGATCCTAATTAAATTCACTCCGTATTCAACAGTTTGCTTGATAAGAGTTCTATTAAAGCAAGATTTATAATGTTTCTCATGGCCTTTGTAAAGTTTTGGTAAATCGGTTTGAGTAGAACTCATGACCAGTAGTAAGACTATTTTTTAAGTAATTGTGCTTTAAGAAGGATCTTCACTTCCGAGACCGCTTTTTTTGTCCATACTTTTTGCCTCGAGCATCGTTCGCCCATGATTTGTATTCTAGTAGCGAGGTATCGAGTAACTATCGTAATGACGACGGGATTCAATTTTGGGGCTGCTGTTGCTTCTACGACGTCTAGTGGGACGCTTTTTGGAAATAAATTATCTTTTGGTGCACCTGCTACGAATCCTGGGGTAACAAGTGCAGGTAACGTTTGGGAAATGAGTTGAGTACTGTAGTGTTGATTTCAGCCGTTTTCATTCCTATCGAAAGCTATTTTAAGCAAACGTATTCGGGGCTTCAACTAGTACGACTAGCAGTGCTGGTGG